TGTGAGATGGTGAGGCCTTTATTGTGGGCAAATTGGGGTACTACAAAGATTTTTTTTACTATTCATTTTAGCTCGGTTCACCTATTAATTGTAATTTTATAGGTGACAAATGGCAGTCTTTACACTCCTTTAATTTTTTTTTTGTTTTTAACTTAAAGAAGAAAAGAAGGTTGAGTGATGCACTGTTTAAAGTGTGCTACCGAAACTTGAGGCACACCTAAACCACAGGCCTTTTCACACATTGTCAACTCAGAACTCTGCTTATAAGCAGTTACGCAAGCACATTGGCAACCACATCATGCTGAAAGTTGTTTAGTTTCCTTTCCCCACTTGCCGCAAAGCAAAAGTACCATCGAACTCTGCGTGAAATGATGTTTAGCGTCCCTTAAGGCCCAAGGGCAGAGGGTTAAGCAGAAGCCAATCGCACTAGCACATCGTAAGCTGATGTGATTTCCGAGACTTATGGAGAGGAAATAGAAGGAATTGTGTGTCAGCCGCGTTGTATTAGTCTCACTTATTGTCTGCTTCAGTAGCCGGAGTGTCTGCGGTGGTGATGATTCGGGACAACTCCAGCTTCATTGCCAATGACAGATGTAAGCAGGAGTGGCCTCGTGCTGCACAGCCTCGACACACCACCACAGGCTTGTGCTCCAACAGGGCAGCCAAAATACAGTGGTTGCTGTCTAAGAATAAAACTACGGTTTCAGCATCACGGTCTGTGCAGGAGGCGTGGTCCGGCTTTGTGTTTCAGATATCGCCAGTGCCGTCCTGCCTTGGGAGGCAGTCTGGCCTTCATGTCGGTTTGAGCTGGTTCCACACTTTTATGACTGGTCCTTGGAACCGAGATGGAAATCGAAACAGCTGTCTGAACAAGCAGCGCTCTTAAAACCAGAGTGCCATGCCGCCCTCCTCCTCTTGCTCCACTGTTGCCCTCAGCCGGCACTTCATCACTCTGCGGTGCTGAATGGGCTCCCTTCAGATCTGTCGGGTGTATGAGCCCATGGTCTGCGACCATGGGTCCTGATAAGATCTCCGTCAGATGTTCTCCCAGATACGACTGCCGCCTCCGGTCATCTGTGGGTAGATGCACATCCCTTAAAATACCAGTTGTAAGGCTTTGGCATAAAAACCGAGGCATCCTTTTTTTTCTGCTGCAACTGCAACTAGATGCATCATATGGCATATTCGGAAACACCTGTGTGGTGGAGCTTAAGTATCTGACCTTTACCTGAACCCGCAACTTTCCCTAATACCCACAGCAAGTGAATACGTAGCCACAGAAAATGGACTCTTAAACTGTTTTTTAAGAGCAAGGAAAAGCATCAAGGAGCTGCTTCTCACACCAACCCACAGTCACGCACCGAATAAACTCTGTAAGGCTAATTATAGTTCAGTTGAATGATTAAAGGCATATTGTCCCATTGTATGGGCTTAGTTGCATGCGATGCTTGTATCATTGCATCACAAGAGTGGAAGCTGCAGTTTGGGCTTTCATGAATGAAGCGAGTCTCCAACAGAGGCTGTGAGATGGCACAGATCCCACAGTGATGTCACACCAGAGACGCTAAAAAGTGAGGGAGACTTGTGAGACCTCCCGTTCATAAGATCGTATTACAGGCTGGTGACTCATCC